TAGAAGCGACAGAAAATGCCCAGAAATTTTAAATGGTAAACTTCATAAAAACCCTTTAAGCGCTGAGTTTACGATCAGACCCTAAAACTTTAGGAATGTTTGTGTGTAAAATTGAAGAGAAAATTTATGGTGGAAGTTACCATAAATTTAGTTATAGTCTTGGGGGGTGTTTGGTTCAATTTCTAAAAATTATAGCAAATGTTTTCCACCTAAAATATGATTTCCTTGTATTTCTTAAAAAAATTATAGGAAAAGTTTTGAGAAATCAAAAGTACCAATTTTCTTGTTTTTTGTACTTTGCTTGTTTGGTTCAAAACAAGAAAATAGCTCATAACTTTATAAAAAATAACAAGATTTAGTAGGTTTTTAATTAAATATGGTATATATCAGATTTCTGGTGATTTCCTCTCATTTTGAGAGGAAATTGTTTTTTGTAAAATTTGGTAGGTTTTGATATTTTATAGAAAATATTTCTGTAAATTTTTTGTTGAACCAAACACAATTTACAGAAATCTCTGGAAAACTTTTAATTACAAATTTGCCATTGTCGGATATTTTGAGAAAAGTTTTCTCAAAAAGTGTGCAACCAAACAGCCCCTTGTTGAATTTTTGTGTGTAAAATTGTCTTACTTAGTATGGTGGAAGTTACCATTATTTATAGTGAATTTATAGGGGGCACATTGGTAATTTGGGTAAGTCTGTGTAGTTGTGGGTTAGACAATTGGTCGATTGAGTCGCCCTCGCAACAATGATTGGGTTGCTGAAGTACTGGTGAGGTCCGATGATTTTTTAAGACTCTAGCTCAAGAGGTCATAATTACTGACATTAAATTTAATATTGACGTTGATGGGTGGCGGAGTGTGAGCGCTGACTAGTTATTCATTAAATGCGGTGTGACTATTGTTGACAGGTCATTCCGCTATTCAAGACGCTCATTTTCGGGTCCAAATGGGAATGCCTTGCATCCCGGATTTGGGCTTCTAGTATATCCTGGGTCAAATTCACATTTCGTCTCGAATTGGGTAGTGAGATAGGTCAGCTGACTCCACACCCGGATTGTACTCTTAGATGTATGTGAGTCAGCTAGCTAGTTATTACATGTGGCCGCTTCTTGAGGGTTCATTAGGCTTGGTAATTTCCACGGTATAATAATGACAAAATTATAACATTTTGAAAATAAAGTTTTATCATAAAGAAAAAGAGTACTATAATAAAACTTTATATTCAAAATGTTATAATTTTGTCAATATTATACCCTAGAAATTACCAAGCCTAATGAACCCTCAAGAAACGGCCACATGTAATAACTAGCTAGCTGACTCACATACATCTAAGAGTACGATCCTGGTGTGGAGTTAGCTGACCTATCTCACGACCCAATCCGAGACGAAATGTGTATTTGACCCGGGGTATACTAGAAGCCCAAATCCGAGATGCAAGGCATTCCCACTTGGGCCCGAAAATGAGCGTCTTGAATAGCAGAATGACTTGTCAACAATAGTCACACCCGCAAGGGGGTGTTTGGCAATCTGAAAGTGAATTTAAAATATGTAAGTTACTTTTTTTTGCAAATGACTTTTACATACATGTCAGCACGCAAGTGAAATACAGTGTTTGTTTGAAAAAATAAATTATTATCGAAAGTGCAATGTGAAGATGACGTGGCAAAATAAGATTAATTAGAAAATATAATTAAAATCATTTAATTAAATTAGTTACATTTTTGTCACTTTCATGTGACTTCACCACTTTTTTAGGGGAAGTCAAAATTGCATTAAATCTTATGTGGTAACTTTCTTACATCTCAATTTCATAACCACTTACATGAAAACAAACACCTTATGTAAGGACCATGAATTTTTGATACTAGTTAAAATAATTTTTTAGTATTTTAAAATATTTAATTATGATTTTTAAAATAGTATTTGTATTTTTCTCGATTTTCTACAATTTACTATGATTTAAAAATCTGATTATATATTTATTTAAATAATTTTTATATTTATAAATTTATTTTGTGCAGTAAAAATTTCTAGAATTAATTTGTTGAGTTATCGGTACTATTACGTAATATTTTAAATAATATATTGTATTATTAATATTATTACAAATTATTTCATATAATACATAGTATTATTAATTACGTATTTTTGGTATAATTTATTGTATTATTTCTATTGTTACATATTATCTATTGTATTAGTATAACTAGTACGTTTTACTGTGTATATAATTATCCCATAATTATTTGATTTTAAATATAAGTAAAAATATTTTTATTATTAATTATTCTCATTTAATTGTATAATATGTATATATTTCGACTATTTCGTATTAACTATTGTATTAGCTCAACATGTACGTTTTTAATTGTAGATAATTATCTCGTAATTAATTTGATTTTTAAATACCATTAGTTATTTCTTTTAATTAATTTCGTTTTAACTTAATTAACCCTAAACCCTAATTTCCTTTCCTTATATATGTATATATACGTGTTTTAATCTTTCTCTCTCTTCCCTCTCTATTTCACGCCGCCCCTCCTCTCCTTTTTCTCTCTCCTTCTCTTCTTCACAAATCCGTAATGACGCCACTGACCCCGACTCCTTCAGCCCCCACCTCATCGCTGCTGCCTTTACCCCGTTCGTGCCACCTCGTCGTCGAGCTCGCCGTTGTTCGACGTCGTGCTCCACCGCCTCAGATCCGATCCGCGCCATCAGCGTCGATTCGTTCGACAAACCCCGAGGCAAGAATCCCCTCACTTGTCTCGTGTTAAAATTATTTTTGATTAATTAATAATGTTGAATAGTTATTTCATGTGATAATTATGTGTGGGATTACTTGTGAATTAATGAAAATAAAAATGACAAGTTTATATTTGGAAAGTTGGGTAAAATTTATGAGATATTGTTGAAAAGAAAAAAAAATAGAAATAAAAAATAGTTACTGTTCAAACAGAATAAATAATAATAATAATATATTTTAAAGATTATTTTGAATAATTTATGATAAATAAATTAAAATGATTTATTTCGGAATTAATAATTGAAAATGTCGACATTTCATGTGCATGATATCTGTTAATGATAGTTTCTCATGTACGGTTTATAGTAGATGTTCATGGTTCCTATTTTGATTTATGATACTGTTAAGTAGTATTAATTGTATTTATCATTCCTTGTTATATTTAGAAATCACGAGAAAAACATGACTATAGTGATCTATGTGACATGAATAAGATTTAGAGGCTTGTGTGTTGCTGGCTTAGAAAATAAGAAGAGCCGGGATGAGAAGTCTTGGTACATGTGATTAGATGTGATTGTTTATGTATCCTTTAGGGTTGCTCCAGTGAACCGATACGCACTGGGTTAGTCTGTTAGGCCAGTGAACCGATACGCATTGGGATAGTCTGTTGGGCCAGTGAACCGATACGCACTGGGTTAGTCTGTTGAGCCAGTGAACCGATACGCACTGGGTTAGTCTGTTTCCTTGTTACGCGGATGATTATGGATTCTTATGATCGTTATACTCTAGTGATGGATTGCATCTAGCTTGTTAGTATTCCAGCTGCATGTTTCTATTTATTATTATTGTTATTGCATTGGTCATTCGACCGTTCCTATTTTTTTTGTGGGGTCGGGTCTTGCCGTGCGTCATGCACCTGACGTACACCTGTTTTCTCTGGTGTACGTCAGACTTAGATGAAGAACAGGTTCAGCTGGGAGATCATTAGGAGCCAGAGGATTCTCAGCAGGAGTGCCCTGCAGACGGAGCAGAAGAAGCTGAAGCTTAGTTATTGGTCCTCCGTTTTCTTTTGTACTACCTTCCATTTCTATTTGATCAGTGTATTTTGTATCTTTTCAGTATTCATTTGTTCATATTTGTATAAGGGCATGTTTGACCCGAATATTATGTCTTGGATGATATTCATTTGTGATATGTATCTTTTCCATTCTGAGTTGTTCATTGTATTCTTGCTATGTGTGATCGGGGACCTGTGACTTCGCATTGTACTTATTTCTAGACGCTTAGCGTATTAGATTGAGAAGAAAAGAAAAGAGAAAAATAATGATATTGTATATTTCTTCTCAATCTAATACGTCGCGGGCTTGTTCACGTTCCGGTTCCCTGGTATTTTGGGAAGCGGGGCGTGACACCTTAATTGTTAAATGAAAGTAACTTTCTCACTTTCATCTTTCACTTGCATGCAAACAAACACCCCCTTAATGAATAATTAGTCTTATTTATAAATAGAACCCAAAATCTATTATCTCTAAATTTTAATCAAAATATGGGAACAATTACGGGCATAGTCTAACGAGAGGATATTACTTAAACTCTTTAATAGTTTGAAAATTAACCCCTTAAATTATTGAAGTCACTTTTTAGTCCTCTAATTTGTAATATGTCCAAAAAAAAATTTCAATTAAATCGTTGAAATTTCTATTAGGCCCCAAAAATCTATTAAATTGTTTTCAGTTTACATCCAGTTAAGAGTAACATACTAAAGATACTATAATTGAGGGATCTAATAGCAATTTTAATGATTCGAGCGACTACTTCGATTAAAGATTTAAAGGACTTATATAAAAAAAATCAAAACCAAAAATATAAAGATTGAGTCCTAATAGGTATGCCAGAAAGAATTTATGGTCTTAGATGATAAAAACTCCATGCGAATCCTATTCGGATTTGGAATCCTAGTCCAATTGGGTCCTCACTAGAACGCGCCATTTCCTCTCCCTCTCTCTTTATATATATGAATCACCCACTCTGTTTACCTCTCTCTCTCTCTCTCTCTCTCTGATTAATTCGCTCTCTTTGCTCTCGCTAGGGTTTTGATTTGCCCTAATTCTTCTCTCAAGGTTCGATTCTTGACATGGCTTCCAACGCCGGCTCATCCCGCTGCTCTGTATTCGGTGAGTTTCTGGAAAAAAACCGATCTTTTTCTGTTTCGATAGATATTAGGTTTCAAATTTGTGATTTTTTTGGGGTTTTGTTTCCTTGTTGCAGTTGGAAATATACCCTACGGCTTCACCGAGGAGAAAATGATTGAGATTTGCAGGGATATTGGACCGGTGGTGTCTTTTAGGTTCGAATAAAAAACCCTAATCTTGATATCACTTCTTTCTTGTATTTTTAGAGCGTTTGATTTGGATGTGTTGCTAGATTCTGCCAATTTTGTTACCTTTTTGGAGTGCCCATGGATTAATTCTTGATTCTGTAAGAAATTTTGACGCCCTTGATTCAATTTTGTTAATTACTGTTTTCTTGTCATGTATTGAATCAAATGGTAAACGATGACTCTAAAGCCTGGGGTTTATGGTTACGGATTAAATATTGTTGTTCAATTCTAGGGTTTGGATATTAATGACATATATGTGAGCATTCTTCTTGACCAAATTTGTGTTTCCTCCTGCAAGGATTGCATGTTTTCTACCTTTCCTCTCTTATTTAGTGTTAGTGTTGGCCCTTTGAATTCACTGTTGTTAGATCTTTAGTTCTTTTTTACCTTTTGTACCAGTAATCGATGATGTGTGTGCAATGTTGTAGCTTTGTGTGGCTTAATTGTTTCGTAAATTTTCAAAGTTTAAGCATTATGATAGGTTGGTTGTTGGTACTGGTCTGCAGGCTGCGTAATCCCAAAATTTATGCTTAGACCTTTAATAAGCTAGCGAGTGAGTTTGGAGCAAGGTGAACCAGAAAACAGTCTTTGGAGGGAAGATGTGATGAATTAGCTAATTTGCAATTAAAATTGTATAACCTTTCGTTTTTATGTGAATCAATAAATCGAACATTGAAGCCTATTGACACCTAGATGGATCAGTGGCTTTTGGTTAGCGATTGGATGGTGTTCATCCTATTCAGAAACCAGAACCAATCCTATAAGTACTGTGTTGTTGTCCTTTTCTGTTGTTTTTTATGCCCTTGAGTTAATTGTTGATTCCTTTTGACTCAAATATATACTTAGATTGAAAATTTTCATTATTTTCATTTAAAAATATAATAAGTTAAATGTAAATGTAAATACATGAATGTATGTAGATTAGCTATGATCTATGTTTTAGAACTAGTCTATTATTTTACTCGGGGAGTATTGACTGGATATCGACATATGCGTACTAGTTTTTGGTGACAACCAAGGGTATCATTTTATTTTCACTCAATTTTTTCATCCATTTTAATGTATATCTGCATAAGTTAGTTCATCATGATTTTGTACATACATTTTCCTTGCTTCTGATCTATGGTGTTATACATGACTGCTGCAGGTTAGTGTGTGACAAAGAAACTGGGAAACCCAAAGGTTATGGGTTTTGTGAGTACCCAGATGAAGAAACTGCTTTGAGTGGTCTTCGCCATCTCAACGGTTATGAGATAAATGGCCGTCAGCTAAGAGTTAACTTTGCTCAAAAGGATAAGGGCAGCACTGATCGAAAAAGTTGTGGTGCTCTGCCAAATGATCCTTTGACTCAGTATTTGGCTACTAATCTGTCAATTGAGCAACTGAATGAAGTAATCACCAGCATGGAGGTTAGATTTTTTTTCTCTGCTCTGCGGATTATGATTTCTCATATTTTTTTTGTTTCATTCTTTGTAATATTTTGCTATATGGTCTCAATTTTAACTTATTGGCAGGCTCTGCTTCGACAAGGAGATCCACTGGCTCTGCAGGTTCAGAGAGAATGCCCACAATTGGCAAATGCTCTTTATCAGGTTATTATTATCCACTCTTATTTAACCTATTGAAATTTGTTCATCTCCTTTACATATTTTTCTTAACTACTTGTTTCTTTCAAACACAGGTCGCGAATTTTAAGCAGTCATCTCCTTCAGGTTTTCAAAATGGCATAAATATTCAAAACCCCTTGATCCTCCAACAATCGTCACTTCCAATTACGTCAACTTCCATGAATTTGGTGTCTCAAGTTATGAAAAGATCTAGAAGTGAAATATCAGAAGATGGTAACCATCCTTCAAAGAGACCGAAGCTGTTACTGGCTCAGTGAAGTGCTGCTTGTATTTATTATAGGCCATATGCTGTTTGTCATTTTTTATGTATAATGCAAGGCTTTTTGTTCTCGCATAAACTTACACGATATGTATAAGAAGAAAGTTCATTTTCTCACTTGTTATAGTTCTTTCGTATTTTTATATTTCTAGTCGTCTATTAGTTCTTTTTCTGTACTGGGAAAGCAGAGGCTTTGGCTCTTCAAGCCTTGTTATTTATTTGACTGAACTAGTGTGTTTATTAAATTTGAACAGTTCCCCATTGTGCTCAGTAAGAAATGAAGCCGAATATTATGTCAGGATATCTTTCTTTCTGCTTTGTGTTTGTATATGTTGAAACTACTGTGTCTGTCAGTATATGTGGTGGTTTATTCCTGTCGCTGACCAGAATCTGCAGTTAACTTTTAGACACCACTGATCGTTCTGTTGAATTCAGGGGTAGGCCATGAAATATCTGATGATTTATCTGTTATTAATGATCAGTAATTGTCTATTATTTGCAAACTATGAACTATGAAGTGTATGAACTATCAAGAGACTAGTTAGAATTTTAAACTCCATAGGCTTTGCCAAGCCGGTCTGACTCAGATTGGACCGTTGAGTCATCGTAGTGCTAAACTAGTATGTGTGCCCTTACACATCCAATACAGTTTATGTAATATTCTCGAACGGTAACAACAATTTTATTTATTGCCATAGTCTTGGGTGTTATACATATAATTGTTATATTGTCCCTATAGATTGATCTGTTAGATCATATATTGTAAAGAGTCAAATACGAACTAACTAGAGCTTTCATAAAGTACACTTAACCTATAACTAGTGTGGGATAACATTGTAATAACATGTTACCATGTGTGACAATCCGGCCCTCCGGTAAACTTCACACATGAACTTTGGAGAATTAATTGGGACAACTATTTTTTTACTAGAGAATGCAATCATATTCAAAACTTCAGAAAAAATGACATAAAATATTTGAAATTATTGCTAAAATATTTACATATTGTATAAAATGTCTGAAGCATCCAGTTTATATCTAACAGAGTTTGTATTAATAACACGAAATCTATATAACGTACACAAAAATTATTTAAATTAGATCACGTGGAAAGCAAGCATATCCTAACTATCGTTGAATAGGTTTAGCGAAAAGAGCTCATGATAAGTTTTATATAAAAAATACTGTAATTAGTGTAAAGTTTTTTTTTTTGGAATTTACCTTTTTCTTGAATTTTTTATTTTTTTATTGAGACATTGCATATCAAAGAAATCTATATCTATCTATCTACCTTTTAAAAGAGGGAGTACTAGAAAAACTTTCCATACCCCAAATTACCCTTCAACTATTGTAAATATAACAAAGTTATCCTCATCTTTCATTCTATTATCTTAACAAAGGTACATTTTTTCGTTACTCACAAATCAGAAGATGTAAAGTTCTAAATCTTCGTTCCCTCCCTTCTCCGTTCCATCGGTTACGAATTTCCTCCGACAATGCAGTCCCACTCTCTCTACCTCATCAATTGTCGGTTATCAAATTGCAAAGATGATTATTATCATCGTCAAGAAGCTTATTATTAGCCTCATCGTCCACAAACCTTAGGCATCAGGAAGGATCAGGAGAAATTAAGAAATCTCAGAAGTCGCAAGTTACTTGAAGAATTCCTCCGCTCCCCCTCGATTATAGCCTTTCTCTCCGTCGGGTACACTTTCGGCCTCCCTTCTCTCTCTCCCCCTAATCCCTTAATTAGTTTCTGATCAACTCCCCTTTCTTTTCCATGCAACCCTAATGCAAAAACAGGGAACTAGAATGATCATGCAACACCTCGTGGCTGCCCTAACCTAATATTTAATGTAGAATCACAAAGGGGGAGATACTAAAGCATCAAGAAGAAGCATTTCCCATCATATGATTTTGGGAAGCTACTGATGGACTCATTGCATTTTGGAAGTAAGCCTAACACCAACCTAATTATTTTGTCTAAAGCAATTTAGGTTCTATGCATTAGAATTTAGTTTTTTTTCTTGCACTGCAATTAGTTTTTATGGCAATTGACATTTTCATAAAGTATTTAGAGGATTAATGATTTGGATATTGCAGGTTCTCCCATCCATCAAGGTAAACCTTCATATTTGATATTATTTTAACTTGGGCTTATTTGATTATATATTTTATTTGATTGAACCGAAATAGAAAACATATACCTTTTTTTTCCTTATGCATGCTTTTAATTAGTTTTTGTTTTTGCCTAGACTAAAACACATCCATATTCAATTCAGTCAAGGCTCTCTTAGCATAAGCCATAAGGTATAATATTTTAACCATGTAATCTGTGGCTTTACACTTGATAAAATAGTTTTATTAGTGTGCTTTTTGTTTGGTGTCTAATATCAGCTTGATCTTATGAAATTTTGTAGTTGCTTGATTGCTTGAATAAATTTACTGTTAGAAAAAGGGGGAAAAAGAAAGAAAGAAAGGATGAGTCTCTTATAGTTGGGTTCTATGCTCTTTATTTTTCACATGAATATGGTTAATCATATGTTTACAGAGCACAAATATGGAGAGTTAATTGCAAATGTACCCCTTGTAGTTTCACCTAATTGCAAGGAGACCCTGGTAGTTCTATTTGTTACAAACAAAACCACTATAGTTCTACTTGATGCAAATAGACCTCTGAGTGAAATTTTTTCTACTCTTAAATTCGTTAAGAATGTTTGAGGAAGTCTACAGTTTATTGGTGAGAATTGCACTTGCATTTTTTTACTTTTTGAATCGAAAGAATAAAAAAAGTTCACTTAGGCGGTGTATTCGCACTTCGGCCAATACTTCAAGGGTCCATTCGCAACATTTTTCTATAACTGTACATGAAATGGACAATACTCATTTTTGGTGCAATGGTTTGGTTATCTCGCCATATTTTCATTATGTTGAAAATCCCAGGAATATATGCATCTATTGAAATTGCAAGCTATATTAAAGCTTGCTCATTAGGTAATAATTTATTACCAAAAACTTTATATATATGGAGCATATTCATGTCTGATTTTTGTTCTGGACATGCTGAAGGTATTGAAAACCTCAGAGGCTCCTGAACATTTTTTTGTAAAACCCTTATTTGTTTGTAGCGACAATCTGCATTCTTATAAACAAATATTATATGTATATAGTGTGTAATGTCTTCAATTTGTGCTATTCAAGAAATTGGGTCATTTCATTTCAAAGATCATATGTCTTCAAGTATGGATATTATCCACAGTATGAAGTGCTTCAGAAAATCATTGCCAAGTCTAAAGGTTATAAAACACCAAACTGGTTGCCTAAAGCTAGACCAAATAGTTAGACAAGCTAACTTAATTGGTGCATATAGGAAATTCCTGAAGACCACAAATTACCATTCTGATTAGTTTTGATGGTAATTAATATATTTTTCATTTTTTTCTTCTTTTCATGCAATGCTTGGACGTGTAGGGTTTCAAGTTCCTATGAGATCGAACACATCTATCATGATAATACTGAGCAGAAGAAAATGTTTTAGTTTTCCTAAGATGTAAACACATTCAAAACCCTAGAAATGTGAATTAATCAAACAATGTTTTCTTTAGAAAATAATTTCACATTGTCAGAGAAAACATTTAAACAACTTCAATGGAGATTTAACAAGTTTTATATCTTTGTTATCCTTCTAAAATATGAGTCCCTGAAAGGTTCTGCATTGTAATTTTAGAAACAAAAGTATTTTTAAACTCAATAAACATAGCATCGATCACATCACATGATCCAACAAAATTATTACATATGTGCATGGTTACATATGTTGTTTCACCATGAATGATTTAACAAAATATCACTTGAGGTAGGAACAATAAGTCGGAAAAAATATCAAGCTACAAAATTAACCAAGCAAAAGATAGAGGGTCAGTAGACTTATCAAAACTTACATGACTAAAATTTGCACATATATTATATATCAGTTACTCTAATTGCTATATTATCATTATCAGTATGGAAAACGGTATGTAACTAAGAATGTTGAGAAAGCACACAACATAAAGTGTGAAAAATGCTAAAGTTCCAAACATCACATAATCATGAACGTTCTTGATTATTTATCCCCAAATTGTCAATTGCAAAAAAATAAAGGTGGAGAAAGATTGATCCCGGGAGCAATCAGAAAAAGGAAATTGATGGCTTAAAGAGGCACTTTGAATTTGACTACCTATTTTTACCAATATTTTAGACTATGTATTTTCTAAATGACTTCACATATATGTGTGATCTAAGTTTTGAATTTGGGACTTCCATTTGGTAGCTTTTATATAGAATATACCAGTTTACTAGATGAATAGTTTATAATTTACAATATTTACTATTTCTCCAGAAGGAGCTTCAGTTGATATAGTGGAATAGGATTTAAGAATGAAAAAGGTGATATTATTTTAAGACTTTGAATTCTAGAATAGTTATAGATTTTCATTATCTTACTACAAATTGTTTCTTTCATTCTCTTCTAGAGTTTCAGCCTGATTTATGTATCTATTTCATGTGATTATAAGTGATTGGCATGAGATCCTAATGTCCTAGATATGATGCTTTCTGCACATATCAGACCAATTATACCTGGCATGTCGACTCTTTCATCATTCCCTTTTTTAATTCTTCATACTATATAAAGTTCTCTAAGAGTACATACTAAAAGAAGCTGTCAGATTCCCCTTATATGCTTTCCAACTCAAGAATTAATATCGTGAAAAATTGTTATTTCTTATTTTTGGGAAAACATGCTTTTGTGCATGGAATATTTATGTTATGTATCGTGAAAAATTGTTATTTCTTATTTTTGGGAAAACATGCTTTTGTGCATGGAATATTTATGTTATGATATGTTTCTTATATGTGGATTGGGCGAGCACCTTGTTCATCAAACACAAGATTATGAGACATAACTGATGTTTAGAATTCATTTCCAATAATGATTTCTCATGTTAAGCATGCTTCATCAGTTCATGGAAAACTGGATTCCTTGTTGTTCCACTTTTAAATTACCAATTAATTACAATTGTAAAACACCATGTAAAGCTCATTTTAGTTAGCTTCGATAATTGGCTTTTGTGTTATGCTTAAAACATGTTCATTAAATTACTATTGTATGTTACTTTCCTTTTTTCATGAAAACTAAAGCCAAGGATATTTCTATTTAGAGTTACGACTATTGACTTAGTGGAAAGCAATTAATACCAGATTATTCAAATGCTTAAGAGTATGCCAG